AGTCATTTAACAATATTTATAACACCATAAAAAACAGTGTTAAAATATATGAACTGCAATATGTACCAAGATTATAAAATTTGTTTCTCATCATCAGTGATTAAAAGCAGGATCATTGCTCTAGCCTCAATACCCTCAACCCTGGTGACAGATTAGAATTCAAATCTTAATGATCAATTTACAATTAACAAGATAGAAGTGAAACAAATTAAATCAACCATTATATATAAGGAGACCCCATGGACTCCCATTGTTCCTCTTAATTACAAAACACAAATCACAAATACACCATGGGCAGCGTTAGACATCAGTCCACAAGCCCAGCAACCCAGAAAGTGACAATGACAGAAAGCAAAGAGGGGGAGGCAAAACCACACACATCGCCGTTCTGTTCTTTACAGCGTAACAGTGGAGAGAAGCTAACGCCTAGCATATTCTTGGTTTCCACTCGGTGCCGGCGCCGACAGAGGCTCACTCCCAGCCAGCACCCAGCCTTTTGGAGCTGTCAAGGCCAGGTTTTGCATGGCATAGTGAAGCCAACTGCACCTCAACATTTTTCTGCTGATTCATCTAAGTGCTTGAGGAGAGGAATTTCTTTTTTTGCTAAGGAAAAATCACAGTTGCACCAAAGACACTTAAATATCTCCATTTACCTTTTTCAAAATAAATCTATAGCTGTAATAAGCTTTCAGCATACTGGGGAGTACAGACAGAAGGGGCAGCAAAAGTTTATAAAAGCTTCGACTGAAATCAGCCAGAATGTCTGCCTAGTGCCAATTAAAAGAAGAATGGAATTAATTCTCTTGCCTGATGATCAAAAACAAGCTATCTAAAATGCATGGGATCGGCAAGTCGTGTTTAGTTTTTAAGATGGGTTGTGCCATTCACAAGCCCTGGGGTTGCAGACAACACTCCACGCACAGCTTGGAGTGCACACACCGCAGAGTGCACTGTGCTCATCACCGCAGACGACCAGAGAACAGAAGCAATCCTCACTGGCACAACGAACGCGACGTTCCGTGTACTTGGGGAGAAAACACACACACACACACACACACACACACACACACACACACACACACAGGGTGAGGGGGTAGCATCTCAAAACATTTTTACAGAGCAGCCTAGCACGAGACTGGGGGCAGGGAGTAAGAGCAGGCGGGCACAGCAAGCTCAGATTGTCAGCTTTTCCAGGAATTCTGCAAGGACTCCAGGCAAATGACTAGATCTGTGAGTTTTAAAAAAAAAAAAAAGCTTCTTTGAAATGGTATGAATCCATTTGTTTAGTATGATATTTTCAGTAACATGAAACTCTTAGAGAAATGTTGCTAGTAAGGAAAGGAGGGCAAAAACAATGTTTTAGATCATTGATCATTAAATATAAAATAAACACACCTACTTTCAGGAAGTTTTCTACTGTAGCACTCTGAGGGAAATCCAGACCACCTTTACCACATGGATCATGCAATTATTATGGAGACTGAATTTCCACAATGACAAAACTCTAGGAACTCTAAGATTATCCTCACATCAAAGCAGAGGGACAATCATTTGTCCCAGAAGTTTGGTATAAGGTACACAAAGGCACTCATCTGGAGTGGAGGGCTTATTACATTTACGATTTTAATCAGAAATCCTCTGAGCCCTTCAGATAATATAGGGGACTTCAAAGCAGAAGATACATCAAAATGGAATGTTACATCTAGCGTGAATAAGTTACTTGAAAATGCCATGATAGAAAAGGGAGAAACTGAATTGATAAGAAATTAAGAGCAAACAGACACGTAATTCTAAAACCACAAATTCTTACTTCTTACCTTTTTGAGAGGCAAAGGACATATACCTTTTGAAAACTTCTAGGGGCACATAAAACTTATTAAAATAACAAGCAGCAATTTATTGAGTGCATACTACTTACAAAGTCCTAGTATGTTTAACTAGTATAATGTTACTGTAGGTGCCTATTTAAATTCACCAGATTTACAAAAGTAGATGTCAGAGCATGACTTGTGTGTTATGACATGTCTAGAATTGTTTTGTACAGTTAGCGCTCTTATCCACAGGTTCTGCAAAATGGGACCACATTGTGCTGAATACACACAAACTCTTTTTCTTGTCATTATTCTTTTAAAAGTATAGTCTTAACAATTACTTATGTGGCATTCGCATTATGTTGGGTTTAATACATGACCTGGAGATTATTTAAATTACATGAGAAAGGGTGAGCATTTGGCCTAGTGGGTAATTCAGGTGCCCCTGTCCTGCATCAAGGTGCTCACGTAAGACTCCTGGCTGCTGCTCCTGCTAAACTCAGGTTTCCTGCTAATGCAGACCTGGGAAGCAGCAGTCCCGAGTCCAGTAGTTTGGTTCCTGACATCCATGTGGGAGATCTGGACTGAGTGCCCAGCTCCTGGCTTCCACCCTCATGACTACTCTAGAATTTAGGGAGTAATCCAGAAGATGGGAGTCTTTCTCTTTTCTCTTTCTGTCCTTCTCTCTCTTTTTCTCTCATATAAATATTATTACAAAATAAGAAGGGCCAGAGTTTTGGCACAGTGGGCTAAGTCACTGCCTAAATAGTGGCATTGGTATGGGTGTCTGTTTGAATCCTGGCTGTTCTACTTCTGAACCTGATTCCTACTAATACCCTTGAGGAAGCATGAGAAGTTAGCTCAAGTCCTTGGGCCGTGTCACTAACATAGGAGGCTGGGATGAAGCTCCTGCCTTCTGACATGGAATATTCTTTCTGAGTATAGCTCTGCCTTTCAAATAAAAATATGTCTCATAAAATTCAAATTAAAAAATTAAAAATGATGTATATGGGAGAACATGTGAACATGTGTAGGTATATGCAAATACTATATCATTTTTTATAAGGGATTTGAGCACCTGCAGATTTTGGTATTTGCAGGCGGGCTTGGGGCCAATTCCTTATTAATATCAATAGCATACTGTATATACAGCTAGGTATGTGAGTATGTATATTATACATAGTTATAATTCCCAATACATTCCTGCTTGGTGGCTTAAAATTAATTTATTTGAAAGGTAGTGGAGAGTGAGTGACAGAAACAGAGAGAAAGAGAGAGAGATTGACTGAGAGACAGAAGAAAACAGTATGTGAGACAAAGACAATATGATCTTTAATCCATTGGCTCTCTTCCTAAATGGCTGTGAGGATTGTGACTGGGCCAGACCAAAGCCAGGAGCCCAGAACACCATCTGGGTCTCCTACATGGGTGGCCGCGACTCAAGCAGCACTGTCTTCCCAAGCTCATTAGCAGGAAGCTGGATCAGAAGTGAAGCAGCTGGGATTTGAACTAGCTCTCAGATGAGATTCTGGCAATACAGGCAATGTTTTAACATCACAATGCCAGTCCCTAGAGATGTTTTCACAGATGAAGAAAGTACAATTTCTAGAGTTTAGGCTATGTACCAAAGGTTTTATATTAAGAGGCAAAGTGAGAATATGAGCTGGAGAGGTGGTGAGGTTCAAGTTCATTAGATAAGAACAGGGGAGGACTTAGGAACACACAGTATAAGCTAGCCTTGCCTTGTGGAGTAATACTCACATGTCAAGTATGCCCACTTCTCCAGTGGAATTTAAAGATTAACTTTTCCTTCCCAAACTTTGCCTTCATCATTACTGTGACCTGAAATTTCTTCAGTATTAGGTATAAAATACTGTAGTTCTTGTAGGAAAAACTATATAGACTTTGGAACTAGAAACACTTAAGTTAAAAAAAGAAGCTCACCACGCACAAGTGATTTAAACAGTTCTGGTGTCCTCCTTAGAAGAGAAGATAATTTCTATCTTGAGCTTTTGTGAAACTAAACAATTTGTATCATGTCCTTTGCCATTAAAAAAAAAGATTTTAATTTCCCTAAATATACTTTACGGAGTAAGCTATTAATCAATAATATAAACCCTAGATTAACATCATTTCCCCCTAAATTACCTAGTCCAATTGTTTTAACAAATTGCTTTTGAGTCCATGTAAGACAAATGAATAGTTTCTAGTTAGGAATGGCTACTGTTAGCATGTGGGTCTCCTTCATTACAAAATAACTTGGCTTTCTTGGTCAAATTTCATGAAAGTATCTAGTATTATTGGCAATTTGGGATCTTCCCTTAGGGAAATATCACAGATAGTAACGTGTATATGCGAGGGCACATTCTGATTGGTTACATTCTGATTAGTAATGTGATATTTGCCTTCTAGATGCTTATGCAACTAATGTCTTTTATTTGTATTTTTCAATTTAAAGTGATTCTGTCCAATGTCATGCATTCATTTGTAAATGAAACTACATTCCAAATAGGTCAAAGACATTTGTCTAGGACTGCACAGTTACTGCCAGACTTGAGATAAGGACTCAGGCCTCTTGAAACTGAGAATATAAAATAACTAATTCACCGAGATAAACTGATTAGAAATATGTAAAAAAAAATCATTAAGATCTTAAATAATGATTTTTAAGAGAGAACTATACCCATAAAATGAACAAGGGCTATTATATAAAAAATAACTTTAGAAAAATTAAAGGGTGATTTATTTCAAAAGATAATCTACTTTCATTTTTGTATATACACATCTCACTTATTGCTATTTGACCTAATGGTGCCTTTTGTGTGCTCGTGGAGAACTATGGTAACACTAAAATATGTTAATTTATAAATACAATATTTTCAAAGTACTTGATTTATCTGCATTCTTTACTAGAATAATTGATCTTTGTTTTTTTGGAATTTCAGTTTTCATTTCTATACACTGAAAAAGACAAATAATTATACTGATAATCATGCCAAAATATCAGAGCATATCTGTATAAGGAAATGTAAACACAGAGAAAATATTTTCATAGAAAACATTGAATCAACAGAGACAAATTTTATTATTAGACCTAGCTAATGAAATAGTGAAAATGCTATTTTTAAGAAAAAAAATCATACTCATCACACAAATAATGCTCTGAATATGCTATATAACATTACCTACCTGCTTTTTTTAGAGATTTGTTCCAGCTTCTTGGCTAGTGTACAGCACTCTTCCTTTAACTTTGTCAAAAATATATTCTGGGAGGTCATCAGGGAATACTGTTCATTTTCTGGAAACAACAATAACCCCCCCAAGCAACATCAGACGTTAGTGGCTGTAGCTGTGCAGTGCCTCCACAGGTAGAGTAATAAGAAACTTTAGACTTCTACACATTTTCTAGAAGCTACTAGATCATTTTCAACGTCCTCAGCTAAAGGACTTATCATCTGTCATGACATTAAATCTTGTGAAACATTTATTTTCATAATAATTATACACTAGAAACACTTTTGTTCATACTAGCTTGGTGTAAATGTTTCAGTATGCTAATAAATTGTCAAATACCTCAAATGGAGTCATGGATGCTTATATCTTTAAAACATGCAAGATATTATATTTTTATTTTGACAAATTTACCATAAACAGAGTGTCAGAAATTCTCACCACCAGACAATTAAAAACTAAAATAACTGAATTATTTCCCTCGACACTGTAATGAATGCTTTAGATTTCATTTTTGTTCACATAGTTTGCCACCCCTGCCCAATTTTCCATATACTTCCCTCAATTGCAAAAGTGAAATATGCACATTTCCCTCGCATTTTGATTTTACTGTCAACAGCTTGCACCTCAGTGAAAATCTGGTCAGAGAAACTGAGGACTGTGTGATTTTTAATAAAAAAAAAAAATAGAAGTGTTCTTTAGCTGGCTTTAATAGTTGAAACTCGTAAGCATCTCTAGATCTTGCTCAAGGCTCTTCGATCATTATAATCCCACAGCAGAGCAGGGAAAAATAAACATTTATCCTGTAATTTCCTGTTTTTGTCTTTAGAAGAAAGATGTCAAACGAATCTGGTGAATTTTCACTTCTTCTGACCCAGTGCTGTTAGAGGAAAATCTCTACTGGGAGTGTTGGAAAAAATTATGAGAGTCAGTATGACATTTGCTTCCTTATACGTTCATTATTTAATAAATTTTATCTTAGCAGTTCTTCACCTATAGGATAACAAACTTGTTTTATCATGTCATAAAATGTACTACACATTAAATTGTGAGAAAATTATCCATAAATGTAAGTTTTAATAGGTCTTTTATTTCTTTTCAATTCTAGGTGATGATTGACAAAAAGCAAAGAGCATACAAAGCAAAATAAATCAAAGCACCAGAATTAAGCAACATTTTTCTGGACGAGACAGGATCAATTAAACTTTTGTTTTAATAGTACGATCAGCATGGAGTATGTGGTGTGGAATTATAATGACTGACACTGTCTTGTTTTGACTAACACTGTCTGTGAACACACAACTCCAAAGTGAAAGGAACTACATCATGCTCCGACTGAACAAATCAAACTGCCTGTTTTCAAAGTGCATTTTACTTTCAAATTAAAGGTAAAGAGTTACTGGCCAACTCAGTCTGCAGAAGAGTGCCAATGTGATGAAAGATGGCAATTTTTAGCCAAGCTGCCAGCTGTGGTCAATGCCTTGTATTAGTGAATTTTAACAGCAGTTGTGAGAACTTAAAGAATGCAAAGGATTAAACATCACTCTAGATTGGATTGGGGGAGGTGGGGAAATCATACAAATGCTAAAAATGTTCGAAGCTGCAAAGATTAAATAAAGGAACATATCAATTTGGAGCCACTGAATTACATCCAGCTGCGACAGTGAATTAAGAACCGATTAATGGCTAAAGCTTTTCTCCAGTTTGGATGCTGAAGCAAACTCATTAGGCTTTTAGAGTAGCTATAATGTGTGTACTGTGGGAACTGTTCAATGCTATTCAGGAGACTCTAACTGTAAGCTCAGAGCATTTCCCGCAGAGCTTCTGATGCTATTTTCTTTATATAACATGTGTGCCTGAAAACCCAGCCAAAAACAAGCCCTTTGTTTTTCTACTTTGTTGTGGTCTCTCTCAGCTTTACGTTTCTTGAACACAGGTAAATAAACTCATAATCCAGATGGTGCAACAGATGTGAGAGCAGCACTCTGAAATCAACAGACAGTGGGCAATACTTTCCATTTTCTCTTTTAAACGCTAACTAATATGTAATTCGGAATCTCCGGTGTAGTTAGCATCTGCTCCCTTCGGCCAGCCAAAGGTTACAGGTGTTCCTGATGTCATTTCACAGTAAGGCGTGGGCCTGGCTTGTGAGCGAGTGCCCAGGCTCTAATCTTTCCCTACCACCTACCAGTTTTGTCATGCTGGGCCTCCATTTGCTGTATCTTCTGTGTCAGCTCCTGCTCTCTTTGCAGGGCCTGAAGGGCTTGGGCCTTTGCTTCGTTGCTAAAGCTCTGCTGAATGCTATCTTTTTCCAGTCTGCAAAATAGAGAGGAGACATACAGAAACGTCGTCTGCAGATGCACAAAAGCCCCGCCATTTCCCCTATAGAACACAGGGAGCTGATCTGTACTAAATCATTAATCTAAGACAACAGCCTATGGATCCTCTCTTTAGGGGGAACATATAAAGTGCCATGCTCGATATGTGCCATGAGTCCAAATGGACTAAAATACACAGCTTTAAACATCAAAAAATCATGATGACTGAATAATGGTTAGTTTGTCATTTTAAAGCACAAATACTTTTTTTCCTGCAAAATTCTAATGTTTTGCACTATCAATTAAGCTTTCATAGTTTGAAAGATCAATATTTCTTGAAGATCCTGAAATTTCAAAAATAACATGACTTAATTTTTTTAACTAAGCAAAATTTAAATTCTTGCAACTAAGACTTGTAAGCCATTTTAGTTTTCTTCTAAAATATAAAATGAAATCACAACTATAAAGCAAAAGACTTCATACCCAAGTGAACAAATGATTCTGTAGTATCATGTTTTCATTAAATATTTTTGCACATCAGGCTATGTAAAATGAATACAAACTTGAATAAAAAAATGAATAATGCCCTTCAACACTTTACAATGAATTTCCTCTTGGGCTATCTTGACAAACCAAAAACAATTTGCACAATGATAAGCTTTTATAGTCAAAGACAATATCCCATCCCACCACGATGGAATATGGACTTCTCCATTGGATCATTCTCTAATCACAGAGGCTCCTAATGGCAGAAACGTTCCAAACAATCACATCTGAGCAATGCAGAGAATGTCTCTGCTCAGGCAACGTGGTGCTATCCCCTGCATGCTAAGCCACCGCCTGCAACACCAACCCATGCGAGTGAGAGTTCTGACTGCTCTTCTTTTGATCCACTTTCCCGCCGATGTGCCCGGGAAGGCAGCAGAAGATGGCTCAAACCCTTGGGCTTCTGAAACCATGTGGGAGACACAGATGAGGCTCCTGATTCCTGGCTTCAGCCTGGCCCTGCCCCAGCCACTGCATCCAACTGAGGAGTGAACCAGTGGATGGAAGATCTCTTTCTCCCTTTCTCTGTCTTTCAAATAAGATAAATCTTAAAACAAAACAGAATTTCATCTCTGGCAACACTGTGAATACTGTGTGTGTGTGTCTGCCTGTCTGCCCTCCCACCCTAACCAAACACACAAACACAACGTTGACTGTTCAAACTTTAAATATAGGTAAGTGATATTGAGGGTTTCCTTCAATTAACTGACTCAGTTATTTTACAACTCCTGATCTCCTTGTGGGTACTTCTCATCCATGCTGTTTTAGTTTACTAATTGAGATATTTACTGCCTAGCCTTTGCCAAACTAAAAATAAACAATTCCATAAAGCTCTCACTACAAGTCTATATACCGCTGTGGAACTTCAATTCACTGGCTTCTAATTATAAAGCAACATAAGGAAAGCCTGTATTGAAATTGGTCAATGCATGTGGTAATGTTGTAGTGTAAAATTCCAGAATGAAAATACTCCCACACCTCACTCAAATGGAACCATCGGGGGTCCATGCTAAATGTGAAATGAGGTCCCTTCTGGTACTTCTAACAACAACACCCCCCTGGATGTAGGCCAAGGTCTTGTCTCACACTCAATTCCAAACTAGTATACTGCAACAAATGGATAGTCAGACAAGGCTACTTTTGCCTCCCTTAGTCACACCTCGTATGTTTCTGGCTACCCGACATTACACTTGTCTTTTCTTCCTGGAATGCCCTCTCACCCAGCCACTCCCCCTCCACAATGTATGCTATCACTTTAAGGCCTTCCTCAAAAACTTCCCTCTCCTTATTCTCTCACCTCAATTATCTAGTCTTTCTTTAGTGACCTCAATACAATGGGTCTTCAAAATGTTCGTAGAAAATGAAGATTATGAAAAACATTATACAGATTTCATAAGTTCTTGCACCAAATTAATTTGTCTCTGCTGTGTACCTTTTACAAAATAACATTGATCACATTTCAGTTATTGTTTCACATAACTGACTCCCTTTGACATCTTCCTTCACCCCAAGCCTAGCTCACTATTTGGCATAAGGCAGTGGACAGCCTAGTCGATGACTAGATATTCTTATGTCGTTGCCACAGAAGAGAGGAAAAATGCAGTCTTCTAGTGAAAGTGGAGAATCTGTCCAAGTTTGAAACAAGGAGGACAACTTTTCACACACATTAGAAAAGGGTGCCTCGAAGGAAATGGTCCTAATGCCCTTAAGAGCTAGTACCCATGCTAAGGAACCAATTTCAAAAAAGCACCATAAATTCTTGTGAGCAACTACTTCCAAGTCACACCTCCTAGGTAGAGCAGGGACAGCAAGGGCTCTGATATCCCCAAGAAACTGAAAGACCATAAAATGTATTGTTTAAAATCCATTTGAGAATGAGAGGGAACACTAATTATACCCCATGTTAGTCTTACTGTGATTACTCATTGCAAACTAAGACTTTACAGTTCCCCCAAGAGAAAGGGGGATGCTTTGACCAACAAGATTTAGAATAAGAGGCTGCCTAATTAATAATTCTATAACTTGACTTCAGAAAACCATTCCTGTCTTTATTGAAGTTTTCCTTATAAACAATATAACTTAAAAGAAACACCAAACAATGCATATTGAGGTAGACATAATTTTATTTCTTAAATCCTTCCAACTGTAACTCTACTTGAGAAATTATTTTTAATTTTAATTGCATAAAACATGGCATGAAATATCCTCAGTTTCCTAACTTCTTTTTCTCACCTCTTTCCTTCTATACCATGTTTGTTCTCCCCTTGTAGGTTCTAACTTGGTAGGTTTATTTCTATTTATTTATTTATTTTACAAACTTCAGGATTTTACAACTATAAGGGGATCTCAAATTCACTTCATCAAATGCTCTCACTTTATAATAAACATATATGCATACACATAGAAAACCTGTGAGGGCAATAAAAAATTTAAATCAGCTCATCAGGTTATATTGTAAATTACTTACAAGTCATGGCAGAGGTGAGATTAATATATTTTTATTTAGGAGATCTATTTTATAACACTGTAGAGGTAATGGAATAATTGAGTTACTAAAATAATTAATGAATTAATTGAAAGAATTACTAAAAAAAATTAGTCAAGGAAGTGGCTAGAAAAGAATCCAGATTAACTCATGAAATACTTGCGCTAACTCTATTATATGAAAAACACTCTGCTTAGGCATGAGGTTATAGGAAGATAAATGAGGCATACTCCTTGCTCTGACTATGAAGTTCAAAATGGCCCAAACAAATGGGCGAATGTTAAAACACTTTCTAAGAATGGCACAGTGAAAAAAAAAAAAAACAACCAAAGCATAGAAAATTGAGGGCTCAGTTCTACCTGGGAGTCTTACAGCCTTGAGAAGAGTAGTTAAGCCCAATCTCATCTCTTAGCCCAATCTCTTAGTTCCCATTCAAGATGCTGATATCATTTAACCAAGCTAGCTCATAGTTATGTCTGCTTTACAACTAGTAATAAGAGCAACAGCAGTAAAAAAAAAAAAAAATCAGTAGTTATTAAAATGGGGCTGAAGGAATTACTCACAATACCTGAAAAGTGAAATCAATTTTCTATCAACCATTAAATAAATAACCAGATTGTACTACAAACAGCCAGCAGTAAAAGGATCCAGTTGGTTGTAGATTTGGCCTAGCAGTTACAAAGCCAGTTAAGAATTCATGTCCCAGATCAGATGCCTCCAATTCTTGCTTCTTGCCAACGAGATCGTGGGAGGGAGCAGGGGACAGTGGGTTCCTACCACTCGTGGGAGGCCAGATTGAGGTCCCAGTTCCCGGCTCCATCTTCTACCCAGTCCAAGTTGTTGTGGGCATTTAGAGAATGAACCAGCGGATGGGAGCTCTGCTGCCTGTCTGGGTGTCTCTCTGCCTCTCAAAAACAATTATAAATAAGCTGCTGTTAACACAACCTCGTATGAATCTTGAAAATAATGCTTTTAAAAGAAGTCATACACAAAAGATATTTTCTGATTTCATACACTGTATCCTCGTAAAGTGAACAATAGAATGAAAGAATAGATTTCTGTTGCCAAGGCCAAAGGTAAGGGAGGGGCACGGGAAGGAAAGAGGCATGAGAGAAACTCCGTAGATTGATAACAATGTCCTGTGTCATACTTAGGGAGATTTTCCACAACTGTAACCTTTGCCAAGACATATTCAACTGCACATTTCACACTGGGAACTTTAAGCTTGATGTTACGGTATAATAGGTTAAGACTGCCACCTGTGATGCTGGGATCCCCTATGAATGCCCATCTGAGCCCAGGCTGCTCCACTTCTGATCCAGTTCCATGCTGGAGAACCTGGAAGATGGCCCAAGTGTGTGGGCACCTACATCTATGTGGAAGTGCAACAAAGAAGCTCCTGGTTCCTGGTTTTTACCTAGCCCATCCCTGCTACTGTGGCCATTTGGGGAGTGAACCAGAGGTCTTAAGATTCTCTGCCTCTGTCCTTCTCCATAGCTTTGCCTTTCAAATAAATAAAATTTTTTTTAGAGATTTATATATTTTTACTGGAAAGGCAGATTAGATTTATGGGGGAAAGGACAGACAGAAAGACCTTCTGTCTGCTAGTTCACTTCCCAAATGGCCACAACAGCTGGAGCTAAGCCAATCTGGAGCCAGGAGCCAGGAGCTTTTTAGTGGTCTCCTGCGGGGTGCATGGGCCATCCTCTACTGCTTTCCCAGGCCACAGGCAGGGAGCTGGATGGGAAGCAGGCTGCTGGGATTAGAACTGGCACCCATATAGGATCCTGAGGTGTACAAGTTGAGAATTTAGCCATTGAGCCATCATCCCAGGTCCAAAATAAATCAATCTTTTTAAAAAACGGTTCTGCATAAGTCATTTTACATTCCTGATCCTTAACTTTTGTATCATTTATAATGATAAATTTTTAAAAATGTTCACACCATGGAGAAAAGATGATTTGCTA